ACAGAGTTCTATCAACACAGTCAAAAGGCAACTGTATCTGTGCTATAGCAATAGCCATCACAACAGAAATGCTTCTCAAGGCAGTTCCTCTTTGAAAAACACCTCAAAATGCTGATCAGCAGGAGCAGGGGATGGGAACACGTGGGGACGTTGGATGTAAGACAATTAGGACTTCTGCTTTCACTTCAGCATTTCCCACTATTCTGTAGTTAACAGCACTTTAGGTGGGGTGGGGGTGCATAGGAGAAGAGGTTTGTAGTTTCCTCTTCAATGAGATGAATTTCTTTACGTTAAAAAAATGCGTTCCACAAAATTAAAAAACTTCAGTTGGAAAACAAGATAGTCATCTTATTTCAAAATGAGAGACATTGTACTTCAGTCTGTATACTAAAGCAGTCCCTAGCATCGTGCAGCAGCTACAAGGATAAAACTCTCATCATACCTTAAGCACTCACCCACTTCCTGTTGAAATAAAGGGTGGGGTTGAACTGACAAACAGAACCAGACTGTCTCCAAACACCAGGAATGGCTAGCAAATTAGTGCAGGTCACTAAAACAATGTCCAAAAGAGCCAGCAGGACAGAAATGGAACTCCTGGGGTAGACAGGAAAAAAAAATCGGACTGGAACAATCAAGGAAAAGAGCTTATTTATGATCTAAAATTGAGAGAAGTTTGAATTTCATAAAGGAATGACACCAGCTCTGGGCCAACATTCGGTCAATAGAAGGATCCTTCTTGTCTTGATTTGGTTTTGAGACAATAGTGCAGGACAAAGGACTTCTGAACTCCAGGACTTTACTCCTTGAGCACATGGTACCTCCATCAAGGACCATTTCACACCTGGTAATTCCATAATTCTCTATTATCTTCTGGGGCATTCCATCTTTTGCTCTTTCCTTTATTACTCTTCAGGCTCTAATCATACCTTTGCTCTAAAAACTAAAATTTAGGGCATCACTTTTACCTTCAAAGTTGGTTCCTTTTAGTCTCAACTTTACCACAGAAAACCACCTTGTAAATGGCCAAAATTGGGCTCTCAAAAGTATATATTTACTTATTTGCAAGGCAAAGTTAAACAGAAATAGAGATAGACAGATTAGATAGATAGATAGATAGATAGATAGATAGATAGATAGATAGATAGGGAGACAGAGAGAGAGAAGGGAGCACTTCAATTCACTGGCTCACTGCCCCCATAGCTGCAACAGCCAGGACTGGGCTAGGCTGAGCCGGGATCATGAAACTCCATCCAGGTCTCCCATGCCAGTGCCAGGAGCCTACGCACTTAGTCTACCTTCTTCTACCTTTCCAGGCACGTTAGCAGGGAGTGGCATTGGCAGTGGGATAGTCAGGACTCCAAGTGGCATCATACCAGATACTGATATTACAGGTAGAGGCTTAACCTGTAGCACCACAACACTGGCCCTGGGTTGTCTGTTTGACAGGATATATCTGGTTGTCCAAAAGAAAACACATTTACCTGAAGTCAGAAATCTGGATTCTAGTTATTAGTTTAAGAATGACTGGCAATCAGGGATACAATTTCAATTCATCTAGCAGTGAACTTTGGCAAAGAACACTCAAGAGATTCTATAGCAAACTGAGATTTTGTTTGCAAAGTCTTCTGAGCTCTGAAGAAAAGACTGATCCACATAAAGTCTTTTGTATCTCCATCTTTGCCTAATTTCCTGTTATACAGCCACTACTGTTATGCAAGTTTTATGATGTTGCTGTCATTGATGACTTCCAGTTACAAGAGTTCATTTTATTTTCCAAATTTACTGCCAAATTATCAATATTCAAATAATCAAAATGGTATAGTTTGAACTACAAACTATTCCTCTCACTGGGCTTATTTTTACTTTGATTGGATAAATGCAGATTAGAAATAATTTACTCATAAATGGAAAAATCCTTATGAGTAATAATATTTACTTTACCCTAATATTTATGGGCACTAGTTTTGTTTTTTTGTTTTTTTTTTGTTTTTTTTTTTGCCTTCATCATCAACTGAGCATTACACTAACCCAGAAGTTTAACATTAAAAAAAAGTTAACTAGGACCTCGTACAGTGGCAGAGTGAGATAAGTAGCTGCCAGTGATGTGGGAGTCCCATATAAGTTCAATATCCAGCTGCTCTACTTCAGATCTGGCTCCTTGCTAAAACATTTGAGAGAAGAGAAGATGGCCTAAGTGCTTGGGTCCCTGTTCTGACAGGAGAGACCAGCGTGGAGTTCTAGGCTCCTGCCTTTGGCCAGGTCTAACCCTGACCATTGCAGCCATTTGGAAAGTGAACCAGCAGACAGCATCTCTCTCTCTCTCTCTCTTTGTCTCTTCCCTTTCTGTAACTGTTCCTTTAAAATAAATAAATAAATAAAATTTTTAAAAGGTAAACATAAAAATAAGCAAACTATTCTTAAAAATACCTATATGCACACACAAAAGTTATCAAATCAACAAACAAGTTTGTAAGATTACAAGAAATATGTCAATATTCACAAAGCTTTAGTTATTAAATAACTAATTAGTTAGTTATTTAGCTTAACAGTTATGTTTACATCTCACATTAGAACAGCTAGGCTTAATTCCCAACTCCAGCTTCCAACTCCAGCTTCCTGCTAATGCAGACCCTGGGAGGCAGTAGTGACAGCTCGAGAAACTGGATTCCTGCCACCAGTGTGGGATAGCTAGATTATATGACCTGGATTGTGTTCCTGGTTCCTGGCCCGAGCCTAGCTCCAGCTATCTGCAGGCATTTGCAGAGTGAACTAAGTAGTAGATAAGAGCACCTTGGCTGTCTCTTAAATACATTTTTTTAAAAGATTTATTTATTTTTATTGGAAAGTCAGATTTACAGAGAGAAGGAGAAACAGAAGATCTTAAACGCACTGATTCACTCCCCAAGGGGCCCGCAACGGCCAGAATTGAGTCAATCTGAAGCCAGGAACCAGGAACTTCTTCCAGGTCTCCCTTGTTGGTGCAGGATCCCAGGGATTTAGGCCGTCCTCGACTGCTTTCCTAGGAAGATGGAAAGCAAGTAGAGCAACCAGGATATGAACCAGTACCCATATGGGATCCCAGCGGCTGCAAGGCAAGGATTTAGCCTTAGCTATTGATTTGTGCCCTCTTAAATAAATTTCTAAAGTATCTTTAAAAATAACAACTTACATAAACCCCAATAAAGCTACCTTTATTTCAAATATGTTCCTTTAAAATGTACAGCCAAGGATAGAAGAGTGTGATCTCCAACTGCTGATTCCCAAAAACTTGAGATAAGAGGCTAGATACAAAATGCATTCCTCTCCAAGTCTGGGAAGAGGCCTATCCTGGGTGTGTCTTCTAGACTCCCAGACAAGCAGAGTCAAAAACCTAATCCATATGGGAATCTATAGTTGGTGTTTATGGAAAGGACTATTTGCCACCTTATTCAGGAATGCTGAGGACAGTGGTGCTCTGGCTCTCACAGCAGCAGTGCGTTCTGTACCAGATTAAACTCCCTGTAGTCAAGACACTGGGATACTCACTGCTGGATTAAATACAGTGGCAGATTTGAAAATGAAAGAGGAAGGAGATAATTAGAGCTGAATTGCACATCAGGCACTGAGTAAGTCTCATTTCATCTGGCCCACTGTCTAACCATTCATTTTTGTCTCTATGATGTCTTACTTGGTATTTCAAGCTTCTCTCTGCAGTAACTGCTCCCTCTCTGGGATGGAAAAGCCAAAAAAGAAACTGACTTTTCATAACTGAGAAAGGCTAGGGAAAAGAAGGTTGTAGAGCAGCAACAGAAAAGGAAATTCAGCAAAATGTTTTGCTGACAGCTGAGGGCAACATACAAATACACCGTGTGGTCATGGAACAGGCAGGCAGCAGTCTGAGATAGGAGTGTTAATACAGTGACTTCGGGGAGGGGAGAGACCCAGCAATCACAACTGCATCTGAGCAACCGGGGCAGGAATTACGGAGCAAACTGCCATGCAATTCCGTAACAACTATTTTATTCTGCCAGCTGTAACAAGAATTCATTCCTGAAGAAGTGTCACACACTCATCTGTCACTAACAGCCCAGCCGCCAGCAACTGACTAAGAGTCAGCAGCAAAGGGCAGCTGTATGTTTACTTCCTCTCACAAGGTCTAGCCACCACTCAAAACGTGGGATTTATAAGGAAAAGTCCTGGAGAAAAGGAAAAAAAGTACTATTTTTTTCTTTCTCCCTTCAGTCTACCAGGCAGTTACCAAAGTCCTAAAACCTCATCAGCAAAGGGGCAGAGGAGGGAGCGCATGAACAATCAGAGACAAAGGGTTGCATTTGACTCTACCACTGCCACATTTTAGCTCTGGGACCTTTGCAGCAAGCAGCCTCATCTCTCGGTCTACTAAACTGTTAAATTAATGCAATGCTCTCTACTTCATAAGAAGTAGCCTGGTGGCTAAAGTTCTCACCTTGCATGCACTAGAATCTCATAGGGGTGCTGGCTCATATCCCGGCTGCTCCACTTCCCATCAGGTTCCTTCTTTGCAGCCTAGGAAAACAGTTGAAGACAGCTCAAAGCTTGGGTACTCTGCACCCATGTGGGAGACCTAGAAGAAGCTCCTGGTTCCTGGCTTCAGACTGGCTCAGTTCTGGCCACTGCAGCCACTTGAGGAGTGTACTAGTGGGTAGAAGATCTTTCTGTCTTTCCTTCTCTCTGTAAATCTGGCTTTCCAATAAAAATAAATAAATCTTAAAAAAAAAAAAAAGAAAGAAAGAAAGAAGAAAGAGAGACCAAGACTATGTGTGGCTCACTCAGTCATTATATAATACTAACTCAATAAATTTCAGGTAGTATTAATGGTTAACTAATTTTACCCTATTATCAGTCAGGAAGTATTTATCAAGTAGACAGTAGAAGATACAAAAAACTGTGAAGTCTTTCCCTTGAAACTAAGAGTTTATAATTTAGTTAAGGAAGTATAAAGTCACAGTTAAGTGAAAATATAGCAATAAATGGAAGTTTACCAAATGAATGATGTAGTCAATGCCTTCAACAGGAAAGAGGAAAAGGTCACTGGAAACTGCAGAGACCAAATGGGCTTCTGAAACAAAAACATGAAGTAAGCAGAATTTAGATATAAAGAATAAAGACAGGAGCCCCAGCACAATTACTCAACTGACTAATCCTCTACCTCCAAAGATCCCACACGGGTGCCAGTTTGTGCCCCAGTTGCTCCACTTCCTATCCAACTCCCTGTTTGCGGCCTGGGAATGCAGCATAGGACTGCCCAACGCCTTGGGACCCTGAAGCTGCATGGGAGACCAGGAAAAAGCTTCTGGCTTCAAATCAGTTCAGTTTCAGCCATTGTGGTCACTTGAGGAGTGAACCAGGAGAGGAAAGGCCTTTCTCTGTCTCTCCTTCTCTTTGTAAATCTGCCTTCCACGCAAATAAATAAACCTAAGCAAACAAGCAGCAAAGAGAGAGAGAGAGAGAGAGAGAGAATAAAGAAAGGAGAGTTTTCAAAATAGGGGAATATGTGCGCATAGTCTTAAACTCTAACACTAGTAGAAAATAATGATTCCAATGGATTTCTATCATATTTCATCAAATCTGAACTGCCACTGATCCTATTTCTTAAAATACTTATTTACTTCTTTTTGAAATGGGATTTAGAGAGAGAAGAGAGACAGAGAAAGAACCTTCTGTTTTCTGTTCACTCCCCAAACGGCTGTAACAGCCAGAGTTGAGCAGGTCCAAAGCCAGATGCCAGGAACTTCTTCTGAGTCTCCCTTGTGGGTGTAGAGGCCCAAGGACTTGGACCACCTTTTGCTACTTTCCTAATCACACTAGCAGGGAACTGGATCGGAAGTGGAACATGTCAGACTCAAGCTGGCAGCCATAAGGGATGCCAGTACCACAAGTGGAGCCTTATGCCACAGCACCAGCCACTGAGAGGTCACTGATTCTAAAAGGCATAATGGTTCAAGGGATGTTAAAAAATGTGGGGGAAAATGTATATTTTGGACTTAGCAAAACACATATTTTGTTATGACATAAGAAGGGAACACGATCATTGTGTAAATTTCATCAAACCATCAATACTATAAGAATAAAGTTTGGGCCCGGCATAGTAGCCTAGCTGCTGAAGTCCTCGCCTTGCACATGCCGGAATCCCACACAGGTGCTGGTTCTGATCCCAGCAACCCTGCTTCCCATCCAGCTCCCTGCTTGTGGCCTGGGAAAGCAGTCGAGGACGGCCCAAAGCCTTGAGACCCGACCCCGTACCCACGTGGAAGATCCAGAAGCCAGAAGAAGCTCCTGGTTCTCGGCTTCGGTTCAGTGCCGCTCTGTCCATTGTGACCACTTGGGGAGTGAATCAATGAACAGAAAATCTTTCTCTCTGTCTCTCCTCCTCTTTGTATATCTGACTTTCCAATAAAAATAAATAAATCTTTAAAAAAAAAACCCAATGATTGCAAAAATAGAATCATACTCCACAATCTGCAAGGTTAAAATATCTAACTAGTACATTCAAGTTTCACTTTATATAATTGTACACAGTTATTACAGCTGGTTCAATATCTTTGTTTGCCAATTCCAACATCTCTGTAATTTCTGTTTCTAGCAATTTTTTCTAATTATGGGTCACATCTTCTTGGCATGTCTTACAACTTCTGATTGCACACTGGACACTGTGATTTTATATTGCTGAATATTTAACATTGCTATCTTCCAGAACACCGGATTTCCACCAGTAAGCAATTAAGTTACTTTTAGTTAGAATTGGTATTTATGAAGCTTGTTTTAATAAAGTTTTGTTAAGGTAGGTTTAAAGTAGACTTTAAGAAAATATATATATCTTTAAGATTTATTTTTTTATTGCAAAGTCAGATATCCAGAGAGAAAGAGAAATAGAAGATCATCTTCCCTCCGATGATTCACTCCCCAAGTGGCCACAATGGTTGGAGCTGCGCTGAACTGAAGCCAGGAGTCAAGAGCCTCTTCCGGGTCTCCCATGTGAGTACAGGGTTACAAGACTTTGGCCCATCCTCAACTGCTCTCCCAGGCCACAAAGCAGGGGGCTGGAAGGGATGCAGTGCTGCCAGGATTAGAACCAACACCCACATTGGATTCCAGTTCATTCAAGGCGATGATTTTAGCCACTAGGCTACCGTGCCAGGCCCCAAATAAATATATATATATATTTTTTTAAGATTTATTTTTATTATTTTTTTATTGGAAAGCCGGATACACAGAGAGGAGAGACAGAGAGGAAGATCTTCCGTCCGATGATTCAGTCCCAAGTGAGCGCAACGGCCGATGCTATGCCGATCTGAAGCCAGGAGCCTCTTCCGGGTCTCCCACGCGGGTGCAGGGTCCCAAAGCCTTGGGCTGTCCTCGACTGCTTTCCTGGGTCACAGGCAGGGAGCTGGAAGGGAAGCGGGGCTGCCGGGATTAGAACCGGCGCCCATATGGGATCCCGGGCATGCAAGGCAAGGACCTTTAACCACTTGCGCCACTGCGCCCGGCCCCAAATAAATATTTTTTAAAATGTATTATTTCAAAGAGCAACAGAGAGAGAAACAGATATTCCATCCTCTGTTTCACTCCCCAGATGGTCCTAACAGCCAGTTCTGGGCCAGGTCAAAGCCAGGAGCCAGGAACTCCACCTTGGTCTCCCACATGGATAGCAGAGGCTTAATTACTACAGCTAATTTCCACTGCCTTAGCAAAAAACCAGATGGGAGGGCCCAGAGCAGTGGCCTCCTGGCTAAAATCCTTGCCTCAAATGTGCTGGGATCCCATATGGGCTCCGGTTCTGCTCCCAGCAGCCTTGTTTCCATCCAACTCGCTGCTTATGGCCTGGGAAAGCAGTTGAGGACGGCTCAAAGCCTTGGGACCCTGCAGCCATGTGGGATATGTGGAAGAAGCTCCTGGGGCTCCTGGCTTTGGATCAATTCAGCTCTGGCTGTTGCAGCCGCTTGGGGAGTGAATCTTTGGACGAAGATCTTCCTCTCTGTCTCTCCTTTGTACATCTGACTTTCCAATAAAAATAAAAGAAATCTTTAAAACAAACAAACAAAAACACATGGGCAGCAGAACAGTGAGAAGTTGGGTTAGGGTTGGGATTCAGATACAGGATACCAGCATTACAAGCTGCTTAACCTGCTGTGCTACACTGACCCCACTCTAGGGTTCTTTCAGTCCTTGAACTAAAATATATCCCTCCTGAAATCGTTACTGAAGGCCCTCAATGAGCAATGTGGACTTCCCACCTTGGCTTGTAGAAACTCAAATTCTGTCCTACTTTGAGAACTAGCAGCTCAAAGTGTCCTAGTGTCCTGACCACTTTCCCCTAGCCTTCTGGAGTTAGACTCTAGACATGCACTTGGTCATCAAAAGGACCTAACAGAGATTCCTAAGGCCATTTTTCTACACAGTTCCCTCTCTCTAGAACTCTGCTCCACATCTCCAAGCTCCCTTAAACTATAACTTCTTTCTCTACATTGTTCTAAAAACCCCCAGACTGCTCCCTGGTTCCAAATATGCACCCCACTCAAGAGCAAGGATAATCCCAAAGCTCATCTCCATTTCCCTTTTCCCAGGGATGGCAGACCTGCGCTTCCTATTTAAGCCAGGAATCATTTCTATCGGTTTTACAAGGCTCCCAGTCATAAAGTGGTACGCTAAAAAAGACTTCAAGAAGACTTAAGAGAGGCCAGTATCCCTTTATCAGTGGTAGTTGGTGTCCTGGGTGCTTCGCTTTCAATCCAGCTCTCTGAAAGCAGCAGCTCCAGGCTTCAGCATGACCCAGTGCAAACCACTGCAGCCGTCTGAGGAGTGGTTCAACATATGGAAAATCTCTAACTGCCTTTCACATAATAAATGTTTCTTAAAATAATGATGTTTTTGTTAGAATCTCAATCTTCCACAAGTATATACCTCAGAGTGCTTTTGGGAGTAAGAGGATAACAAACAAATGTCCTGACATCAAGCAAACGACTGCAACTGCAAATACGTAGGATATTGTCACCATCAGCATATAATATTTGACTGCTGTATTAAAGTTTTTGAATGATTACTGTTGAGGAAAATGTCTGGAAATTTCTCTTTTTTAAAAATTGTTGTTAACATTGTATTATGTGAAATTTCTCTTTTTTAATGCTAAGATTCATATGGGTATTCCTCATATTTGTGTTAACTCCTGGGTGAACCCTGAGGCATGTTCTATCACAGAGTGAGCCTTAAGAACAGGGAAGATGACGGCTACCCCACTGACGGTTCTAAGCACCTGTCCAATGCAGACGTGCACTCAGGAGCCAACAGCTCTCCAGGTTACTGATTGAAAGGCATGCTGAGGTTGTCTGCTCTCACCTCTGAGTGGCTGTGGACTGATTTAAGGTGGGCAAGCAAATCAAACAAGCAACGCACAAGGGCTTCCCTATGTCTCCTCCCAGGCCCACTGTCTTTGCGTCCAGAGGAGGCCAAGTCGTGGCTGAGCTTCTGACCTCCTGTCACAGGTTCTCTAAGAAAAGTGGAGAAAAACACTAAGGAAGAAATGATGGCCTCAGCTCACATTATGCCAATTTTAAGGATTATAACTGAGTATCAGATCTCCAATCACAGTCAAGAGACCATTCAGTATGTTCATTTTATGTACTTTGCAAGTGAAACAGCCTCAAAAGCACTATTATAATAGGTAGTGGCCTTTCTTTTGGAAAACACACCATTTCATCTTAAAGGCCCAAAGCAAACGCCACCACCTCTGGAAGCCTTCCTTGACTTATAGTCTGAATGCAGACTCCCTCTTGGAAAAGCCACAGATATGTAGAGCCCTTTCTGATACTCCTTACATTCTGTTCTGTAGCAGATTGAGGGGTAGGAGGGTATCACTAACTACAAGAATTGAAAAACAAAATATCTTGGGACCCAGCACAATAGCCTAGTGACTGAAGTCCTTGCCTTGCACGTGCTAGGATCCCATATGGATGTCAGTTTGTGTCCTGGCTGCTCCACTTCCCTTCCAGGTCCCTGCTTGTGGCCTGGGAAAGCAGCAGAGGATGGCCCAAATCCTTAGGACCCTGCACCTGTATCCCGGAT